TATTCATTTGATATTGCACTGTAAGGAGAAATTCTGTCTTGATCATCTTGATCACTCATGGGAGTTAGTTTTTGCCATTATTTGTAGATCAAGAACAGTATGAAGAAAGCTAAGAAAACTAATGATGATGAAGATTCAGATGAATGGGAATTTGAGGACAGTTCTTTGCCTAACGTTCTTGATAAAGTGGTGAGCATGTCTGGTTTGCCTTGAAACAGAATAAAGTATATCTTGGACTAGATATTTTCTGACCTACAGATTCTACTACAGTAATTTTTTTATTTTGGCACATTTTTCCAATCGAAATAAACTGGCTTTGTTCACAGTCAAGTTATTGAGGAAAGGATCTTGCAAATCACACCCAGACCATGTCAGATCAGCTGATTTAACTTTACTTTGAGTAGATAGAGGGGGTAAGGTCTTACAATCTTGATCTCACTTTTATTGACAACCAGCTGTCACTCAAATTTGTTTAGTATGGGAAAAAAATCAGAGATAAATGTGAACAAACAGAGGACTGGAAACAGTCCATCCCAAGCCACACTCTTACTAACTCTTTAAACATCAGTTACTAGGGTAAGTAAAACCATTAGCCAATTTTTCTTTTTAAAGGAGCAAATTCCAGGTAGTGATAACCTGGTGTAATAAATGTAAAAATCACTCCTCCATCATCTCCTCTCACCACCTATACAAACCTTTCCTTACAGGCCCTTGCAGTCACTAACCTCTAATTTGAACACTGTAGAGACAACTGATTTGAAAATCCTTTGGGAAAATAGGCTTTAGAGAGACATTGTCAGTTTTGTTGTCTTTTAGAAGAAGAATATAGCAGAACAGATTGGTGATGATGACTCAGACATGTGGGACGTAACAGATGACTCAGAGATCTCCTTAACTAGTATGAATGCAAGGACACAGCCTAAGGATGTAAGGAAATGTATAATGTCACTTTGTGGTGTCACCATTTTCATTAAATTTACAGTTCACTTTACTATAATTTATATCATCATGCCCTTTATTATGCCTTTATATGGGTAAATCTGATGATCAGGATCATTGCTATGGTAAAACTCTTATAAACTATAAAGGGGTATTAGTTTCTAAAGAAGCTGTGGTGCTGCATCAGTGGGAGAGTATAACAGGGTAATTTAGTATTATCAACCATAAAGAGTTAAAAAGCTAACATTTCAAGTGTTAGCCCTTTGTTAGAGTGAAGGGCTGATGAAGGGCTAACACTTGAAACATCAGCTTTTTATTGCTTTATGGTGGTCAATTTACACTATCAACTCAGTCAATAATACTGACCCTCTTTCAAACTATGTTGAGTCTATGACACCATTCAACAATAGCCTTGATTATGATGGTTGATTTCTTCAGAGAAAATTGGAAACTGACATGCTGGGGCCAGAACTTTTCATTTGAGGGAAAACCATCATGACAATAAGATTATTTATGGACATTTTTAAGGCATAAAGAAATTGAAACCAGTGTGTAGGTGCTTAAAATGCTTTTGGAGACAATCAGGCTAACTTGTCAATAATTTGATGGTCAAGAGTAAAGTTGACCTGTTGTGTGAAAAGATGTTATTTGAACTAATCTTAATATCTGTCATTGTATTCATGAAACATTGCCTGATTTGATTCATACCTTGCAGATTGAAAGTCTTCCAAGGGAGATTAAGAATACAGAGCAAGAAATGTCTGATGAATGGGATTTCAAAGATGATCCTGACCTTCACACTAAAAACTTAAAAGATGCCAAGAACAAGAATGTACAGAGGGACAGAAGACACTCAAAACTGTGTAGATCATCCCATTTAAATTTTGTTGCAGCCCCTCAGAAACAGCCATGGATCACTATACAACCAAACAAAACAAGTGAAGATGTTAAGAATTTGTCTAACAATCCCAGTGCAACATTTTCAATAAGTGACACGTCTCATGATAATTATAGTCAAGCTGACGAGAAGCAACAAGGCCAGGGTGGGTACCACTTGCAGAAACCAGTAGAGCAAGATAGAGAGCAGCAAATGCACTGTGGTGACTGTCAGGAATTGCATACATCACATTCACAACATACTGAGCAAGGGGAAAGCTGCCTAGATGATACTAAGTCGAGAAATAAAGTTTCACCTGATAAAGGCATTAGACCCGACTTTCTCAGCAGTATGGATGATGGTGAGTTTGACTATTGCAGTCTGACCTTTGCTTTGTTGAGGTTTATTAAGAAGGGGTCTGTAGAAGAGGATCAAACTTTGTGTAAAACCATACATAGCTGTGAATAAAGTTATTTTGCTATAATGATACCTTGAAAAAGATCAAAGGAGGCCACCACTGATGAATGAGCATTTAAGCATTTTTCTTATTTAGAGTTAAATTCTGTGCCTTGACAAAAGAAGAAGTCTAAACATTTCAATCAGTATTGATCAATAATTTACCTACTAGAAACAGGGAGTAGCTAAATGTGTAACCCCATGTGGCTACCAGAAGTGGTGGTAACCAAAAGGTGATCTTATTATTGTTGGCTAAAATTCAGTGCTTCTATGGACTAATACTATTGCAGGAACCACATTCATAAAAGAAGCAGGTTAGAGTCTCCATCTTTCCCACTTTGTAAAATCATGACTTCAGCTGAGAAAGAACCGTATTACTTCTAATTTAGTTTTTCTAAGTATTTTTTTCTTTTACTTTCAGGCTTCGTTCATATTGATGACATCACACTTCCAGATACACCTATATGTGACTTCATTCCAAATCACGCTGGCTGCAGAGTGGATGCCAAATAGACAATGCCAAAACACTCTCTTAAAGATTTTAACTTATGTTATAAATTATTGCTTTCAGTTTTAGTTGCTTTTTATTGGAAACAGTTGGAAAGAAGTTTATCATGTTCATAAAAAATTTAGAGTGTACCGGAACCTCCATTTAACCAGATTTTGAAGGTTTTTTTATATTCATGATGGTGCTTTAGATGTACATTTTTTACTTCATTGTAATAAAATCATTTTTCCATTTTAAAATTTCTATCCTTCATATTATTCCTTGGAACAACAATGCTATTTTTGGCTGGCATCAATTTGTTCTGATGAGGATGTTTTAAATGTTACTTGACAAGCCATGTTACTTGAGTTGATTTGCACTTGTTCACATTGAAATGGTTGCCACAGGTCTGGAAGTATTTAGGGGAAAAATTCTTCATTCTTAGGGAAAGTCAGTGAAATTACAACATCTCAATTCAAACTTCTCTCCAGTTCCATGTTTTTTTGTGTATGTGGCTGCAACAGGTTGTCCCTATTATCAAATAACAGGCTCCATTTGTGCAGAAAACCACAGTTAAAGCTGACAATGTGTAGGGCCACACAGGTGGACATGAGGCAGCCTAGAAAAAACCCATTCGGTTTTGCACGCTCTTTTGTATCTTCTGAGAATGTGAATTGAAATTGTGGATGTCAACTTAAAATAAAACAATTGAAAAAAGGAGTCACTTCTTGGTGAATTACAAGTTTTTTGCCTTGACTTGAATTAAAAGCAGGAGAATTTCTACCTTCTATTAATTGGCCAGTGTGTGCCCTTCTTTTGTATGCAAGTACTTCCTATTTTGGTTGTAAAAAAGTTTTAACACTTAGTGGTCAAGTGATACAATGCTTTTTGCCTTTAGTGTGGTTTCAACAAAATGCAAACTCTGAGGTTCAGGATAAAATTTGTGCTTCATGTTATACTTGTGTTAAGTATTAAGGAAATGGAAAGTTAGCAAAAGAAGAAAATGAAGTCTACTGACATTGTCTGCTACAACTGAGGAGTTACATGTACATGTCAGAAAACCAATGAATAACATGGTTGCTACAGATAAGGAAAAAGTCGGAATTTAACTATGGGTTGGGGCAAATTAACATTTTTGAAAGAAGTCAGGGAAAAGTGAAATCTCAAGTTGACATGAACTCATGTCTCAGCCCTCTTCATACTTACAGTTTCTGTGAAATCAATGTTTCTCATAAACAACTTGTTTAGTAGTTCCTAGCTTGCCTGGAAAGCATGTTACTTCCCCTTGTAATGCAAGTTCAGGTTGGTTTGTGAATGAGACTGTACACTTACTTTTTCTCCTTTTTCATTGTTTGTGTGGTACTTTCTATGGACATAAGACAAGTAGGATTGGTAGGATATTTTTTAAGAAATTGAGTGACAAGCTGATGTTGTGTTTCCAAGAGCAAGAATCCTTTTTCCATGTTATGTTGAGGAACTATCAATTCATGTACACTGCATTTAACTGGTTAATAGGATGAATAAATGGGTGGAGGGGATGGCTGCGATTGGTGCTTGGACATAATTAACAGGAATTTGACATTTGTTGGGGAAAAGTTGGGAGAATTTCTAGCTTGCAGAACAGGCAGAAGTTTTTGTGTTTTTCAGGTGAACCATGGTCATCACAAGGCAAGCCCAAAGTGAGTGAGGTGCTCCTCCACTGGTGCTAGCCTCTGTTTGCATGAAAAATGCAAACGAATCATGCCTACTCTGCATGCAAGGGAATCTCAAACGCCTTGGCTATAGCGACCATGAATAATGTACATCTTTCCATAAGTGGTAAACTACATAACTGACCGCAGTTATGTGAACCACACTGCATGTTACTGCAAAGCACAGACAACTCCTTTGTCTAAAAACAGATAAAATACCCTTTAAACTAAATTGCACTTTTTAAAATTATCTTTACCACAAATGAGATTGCTAGAAATAGCAGGGTAAACCTAGGACCAGCTAGCCTACTTCAGGGACTCAATTACTAAAATGGGGAGAAATACTAAACAGCAGTATATTAGTGGCAGAGTAAAACAGCAAGGGAAGTTTGGGTCATGTCACATAAAGAAAGCTCATAATCCACCCTGACCCAAACCTCTCTGGTTTTCTCACTCTCCTACTACCATCTTGCAGTTTATTATAGTACTTTGTTCTACAAACAGAATGCCTGGAAAAGGCTTAGGACCAGCCAGGATAGAAAAATAGAGGTTTCTACTTAAGAAGACATCAGTCTACTTTTTTATTCGGTTTAAGTTTTTTTTTCTTTGCAAATGGAAAAATATATGTCATTCAATAAGATAGACAAACAAGTTGCTCAATGTGTTCAGGCCATTCAGAGAGATCATTTGAAAAACTCTAAATTGTCACATTGCCTCTAAAAAGCTTGTTCAGTCATGTCTTTCACACTGTCCAGGGAAAACTATATTATTAAGTTTTGGCACCTTTGTTTCCCATAAACCTTGTTCTCTTCTATTAAGAACACATCACATTGATGCTGAAGACATAATTCACACATTCTATGACTGTAATGTGCATACAGCTGTTCTTTAGCAAGTTTTCAGTTGAGTTGCTGCTTCACAAAGCAGTTTACTTTGGTGGTGGATCCCTCTTTAAATGCTCATATTCAACTAAGGCCTCATATAACTGCCTTCGTAATGTGGACACCTTTTCTTCTTGTTTCTTGACATCTGCCTCTGTGATAGTAAAGGGAGTACACAGAGGTTGCTCAGCATTTAGCCAGACCTCTGGGTGCTTTTCCAGAGCTATAGCAGATCTGTCTTGCCCTTTTACACTTGCTTTGTTATGCAAATTTGTCACTAAAGAATGAATTAAGTTCTTTTGGCTTATTCCAGGGCCTACACTCTTTATTTGATCTGGCAAGCGAAAACACTTGAGCACATCCTGTTCCAATGAAGTAACTGAAATCCCTTGTAGACGTTTTTCCCAAAACAGCTGCTTTGGTTTATCTTTGTCAGTTCTTGCATTTAATGCCTCGTGTTTACGTTTCTTCTCTTTTGGAGGAGCCACTGCCATAGAAGGGTAATATGTAACATGTTCCCCTGAAAATGATTTGGCATATTGACGCACAGGAGCAGGAATTATCCCTCGATTCAAATCTCTGCCAAAGCTTTGATCTCTTTCTCCTTGTCTCCTCTTACTTCGCCTATTGAAAGTACCACTTCTAAAGTCAAAATTTCCAAGGTCCAATTCTGGAAGGTGTTGTTCTAGCTGAGGCTTGGAACGGATTTTCTTACCATCTGGACTGCTCAAAGAAAAGTAGAAAAATGTTACACATTTATGTCTTTGTAATATTATCATGTTCATCACTTCTGGGAGTTAAAGTTAAAGATCTAGACCAAAAGATTCCATATTGTCGTGCATCTGTTCTGCAATAGATCACATATGACAACAAAATGTGGTGAGAACAAAAAAAGGGGAGCACATGAGGCACAGCTGAGAAATTTTCAAGACTCCAACAGGAACTTGTCCGATTATCGAAGTGATCTTCATGGTAATGAACACTACTTAAACAGCATGACCTCTGCAAAGTGAAGTGGAAATATTCCATTCATGTTAAAGCTTTGTGGTCAGTCTCTATGTTCAACAATTATTTTATCCCATTATTAGATCATAAACAAAAAGTGTTTCCTTCTGCTGGTAGGAATTCTATATTTTGAGGTCTTCTCTTCTTTAAGTCCATTCAAAGAAGAAAGAAAGAGGAGACGCTCTCAATTAAGCCCATATTATGCATGTACCCATGGGGGCATTCAACAACTTCTTCCATGGTCTGAGATTATTGTAGGTAGGGTAAACTCTGTACTAAAGTCAAGTGGCCCAAAAAGCCAGAGCTTATCCTGGTATAGTTCAAATTAATACTACTCTTCTCTAGTTGGGATGCCAGTCCATTGCAAAGTTATCCCCCAGCATCTGCTTAGGCTTCCCTGAAAATTTGCAGGTATCCATTTACACTCCTGGGTGGAGAGAGGTACTGTGAGAGGAAAGTGTTTTGCCACACTATCGCATGAACAGGTCTCAAACAAGGATCTCTTACCCTAGACCCAGACTTCAGCACAATAGCCATCAGGTCCTCATGCCACCCCACCATGATCAATGTATTGTGGCCTAAACTTCAATGTAATTTCAAAATGTATCCTGCATAGCAAGGATTTGGCCTGAGACTTGATAGTTCATATTTATCCAAATATGAATGACACATCTATTAAAATTTCAGTAAATGATCATATTTGTGTATCTCTCTAAATTAACAATTACGTGCTGTTTTTTTTCTTGAATATGTTTGCCAGCTGAAAACTTAATCCACTTATTGTTTGTTTGCTATTATTACATCAGTTATAATACTGCATGACATCACTGACTCTCCGTTTCTCTCATACAGCAAGTCCCACAGTTTGTATTTTTCTTTAAAACTTAACACTTGGGTGAAGGATCACCAGAATTGTGTGGATTGAAAAACTGTGCACATGTTTACCAACTAAAACGGATAATTCGTTTCGTCGACACATGTGAAGGTCTCCACGTCTTTTGTCACCGGTGCACAGAATTTTTAAGTGTATGTTACAGTTAAAATCTTAGGATCGCTTAGATCGCGTCTTGCCTCCCCGGAAATGGTAAAAAACCCTTTAAATAAGGACTTCCAGGCATTATATGGCACTTTCCAGTTGAAGAAGAGTGATACAAGAAATCAAAACGTGAAGGACTTCTTCTCAAACAAATTAACACGTTCCCACGTACATGTACCTGTAATAATAAACGTCGCTTCTCCCGGCTGACAAACCTGACTTCCTCATCACAATTTCACGCTGCCAGCCGTTAGGAAGACTGGGGCACTCCATTCTCGATTTCTCATCCATATCTAACGGAACAAAAACCAAAACAGTAAGAAAAGCGGAAACTCAAACGAAATGGTGGATTTTCGATCCACCTTCGTCCCCAGGTTTCCTTGTTTCCCAATTCTGAGGACGAGCCTCCCTGGGAACGACGTTGCTTGGTTCCTGGATTCCAATACAGGCTATGGCTTGATGCGTAAAGAAAGCGTAGGGAACAAGCAATCTCGTGCCGCATCTTACGAAAGGATGGTCTAGAAAAGCATTTTGAGTGGTTTATTTCTCCTAACTGAGTCTTTCTGATGTGAAGGAAATTATTTTTAGAGATCAAAATATTGAACATATGCAAACAAAACTCTCAAATATATTGGAAGCCTCACGGATGATCGCATCAAGGCGACCTCCCAGCTGGAAAGATGGATTAGAAGTCAAGCTACTGCCGCCGTTATTGGGAAAAAGATCAAGTTTGGAATGAAGAAGATTAAGGGGAAGCTGGTAAAGCGCACCTCACAGGTGGGTGTGATTTGCACAATCATACCTTAGTAGGAAAATCAACTCGAAAGCGGCGTTATAGTAGGTATCAAGTGTATCTTCAGGCCGGTGATTGTTTCAAGACAAAAGTTTGTAAACAACACGAGCTCAGTTTATTTACTACAGTTTGACTCTAATTTGAGATTAAGGCATTATATTGTATATGCGTGTGTGCACAGAAGTAGAAGGTGCTGTAGTGATTGTCTCAGATTGTTTTGGAAAGTTTGACAGTCTACAGTTTACGTACAATATCTATTTCCGCCAAAAAAAAACGTAAGTGGTACATGTCAACTCAAAATTTGTCGAAGGCTATAAAACTATCCTACATTTAGTATACAGCAATATCGCTATTATTCTAGATGTTGGTTGCTCCACTTTTGTAGGTTATTGCCTTGAATGAGCAATTACAACCGATATTTCTTTAGAAAACGTTCAGTTCTTGGCATTATCCACTTGAGCTTACTCAAAAGTGACTGGTCAACAATTATTCACCGGTATAGAGGTGAATAATCGTCGTAGTATGTACCACACAGAAACCATGAAATTAGTTTATTTCTGTCAATACACTGAAAACTTGTCTCCTCCATTGTGTGGATGTGACAAGTTCTAATTGCTCATCACTTCCAAACTAGCCCATCAGTGCATGAGGAAAGCACCATCCACTTGTGTGGTGTATAACAATTATTTGCTGAGGTAGAGGTGGATTTTATAGAGTTAAGTGGATTTTATAGAGCCACAAAGCAGTAAAGTAAATATCCACTGCTTTTCACAGACATTAAAGTGAATAATTGTCTTAGGATAAGTATTACAAGACCATACAAGAACCAAAACATAGGTTTATTTCTGTCAATGTACTGAAAAATTTGTGGAAAGTAAGCTCTTGACAAACAATTTATCTCCTTGCTTCTCTGAGGTGAACAGTACTTGCTAATCACTTCCTAATCAGCCAGTCACTGTGTGTGGAGAGCACTCTTCACCTGTTTGGTAAATACTTAAAGTATTAATTTTTAATTAGTAAATGAAGCAGGATATTAATTTACTGATGTGTTAATTTATTTATGAACCTGGTCCTCATAATTTCTTTTTAAACATTTAGAAAACATGTTTTATTGAGGACATGACCATTGACATCCATTTATTCTCTGACTAGTTTTTTGTTAATCCAAAATAAGTATTTTGTTAACTATGCAGACTCAACTTCAAGTAAATCCACCTAGTGAAGATGATGCTTGGACTAAATATGATGAACGGCTCATTGAATGTGTGGTGAATGGAGATGTAGAAAAACTCAAGTAGGTTCAATTAAAAAAATATACGATTTGTATTCATTAATGTATATGTCACCTGTGATTAGGGTAGTGTGAAGGTCAATTAGAAAAGACACAGAACACTGGGTAATTCAGCAACAAAAGTAATTAACTGTTCTAACAACAGTTAATTATGTTCCCAAGACAGAAAGGTCAATCTTGTTGATGGTGAACCCCATCACACAAAACTATAATGTAGACATTAAAATTTGAATTGCATAAGTGAGGTAAAGAAAGAAGTGAAGTATGAAATGAAAAAAACATATAAGTCCCCCACTTTGTGTGAAACCTCAAAATTTCAGATATAATGGTATAATTGCTCTATACCTCTGAGATTCAGGGAACTCATTAAGTTTTATATTGGGTTCATAAGTGACAAGTGTCCTGAAAACTGTGAGTATCAGCGATGTTGAAGTGATGAGTGTATATTAAATAGATAAAGAAAATGTTCCTTGTTCCTCACAGGCACAAGGAAAAAATGACAAATCTGAGTCCTTTGGACTCAAATGTTATCTCCTTTGCTTCACTCTTGTGATGAATAATCAGTGAGCAAGTTTAAAATTTTATCCATTTTTTTTTACTTCAAATTATCAGTCTGGGAATGATTAAATACTCTGATGCATAAGGCTACTCTTTTGAGAAACACATTCTACTCTAAGTCTTTGTATTGATTCTCATTAAAAAAAAAAATGATACAGTAAATAACTACTCCTATACAAACAGGAGGGCAGTGAAAATATCACCCTTAAAGGGCTTCAATCCTATGGAAGGCCGTAAATTTTTTTAGGCCACCTTTATGGCTGTCATTGTTCTTAGAGAAGGTGCCTTTGTTAGATTTCATCATGATAATGATTTTCAATTTCTTTTAAAGAATATACTGGAACTCCAACTACCACTCCAACAAAAAATTATTTTATTAATGAGTATAGTATATTTCCTCTTTGTTAGGACTACTCTTGCAAAAAAGGGGACGTCAGCGATAAAGTTGGGACCAAATGGGACAACAGCGTAAGGAAATCTCTTACCAACCTTTATATTAATTAGCTTGGGGTAATTGTTACATGTACATTAACTAGTTAAGATGAGGACTATTGGTTTACAAAGAATTTGTGCAGTGAGAAATCATAAAGAAACAAAACAAAATTATAGTAAACTACATATTAACAGTAGTGAAGAACATATGAAAAAGTAACAACAAAGTTATTTAAAACAGTTTAGCAACAGGACACCCTTAGGGTAATTCTTCATCGATTGATTCCTGGCTAAATGGAAAAGTAAAGTGTTGTAGGGAGGGAAATTGGAGAATGCACAAAAAATCCCTTTGGATACCAATAAAAAACAACAACAAACTCAGTCACCTTGGCGAGTTCATGAATTGAACATGAGCCTGACAGAGCAAGGCAAATTTTTGTATCACCCCTCCATCCCTTGTAATCTCTCAAAGTATAAGCTCTCCTACCCTGACGACAGAGATCTCATGTTTGAAAAATGCTAAGTAACTGTAGGAAATAATTGACTTCAAATTATAAGGTTCTTTATATTCATATCTTACATCTGTCAGTTAGTAGAGGAGCTATATATGAAAGGCTAACTGGGCCTTATTTTGAGTGTGGGCTCTTCATACATCAAGAGCGTGTCCTGATGAACAAAGTAATTTGTTTTTCACTTTTTCTTAGTCTTCACACAGCATGTGAGAAAGGAAATGTTGAGTGTTTGGAGGTGTTACTGGGAGAACAACCAGACCTATCATTAGTGAACAAAGCAGGTGAGTCCTTTATAAAGCTACTATCTATGTGTATCTGATGAAAATACCTTCGCAGTCACTGTGTTACATGTAATTCGTTGATTGATCCTTTTTTTAAATTTGGTATTGAATGCAAGGTATTAAGTGATCACAACAGCTTTGATAAAAGGAGGACAATCAAAGAGTGATTGTGGTTTAAAAGCAAGTCTGAGTATAGGTGTTATCCACATCAGAAGTTTCTTAGCTTAACTGCAGTTCTAAAATGCAGTTAATGTACTTTGCTTAGGAATTGATTTTGGAGTTGTGCTATTACATGAAAATACTGCAAAAGTGAAGGAATTCTCAACAACTAGTATGTAGCTGTAAATTTATAGCCTCGTGAAGGCAATTAATTTTTGACTGTATGTTAAAAGTTGACACTCAGTTTTAAATAAGTATTATATTTTCAATTAAAATACTTCATGTAATATTAATAAATGAATGATATTCAAGTTGGTAAAGCACTGACAGAGGTGTTCTTTAGGTACCACTGTATCTCCTTATTTCTTGAAATATTTTTCTTTCAGGCTGCAGTCCTCTCCATGTGGCTGCATATTCTGGGAACACAGAATGTGCAAAGAAAATCTTAGAACACAAGGTCCATGTTGGAACTCAGGATGGTAAAAAAATGACAGCACTTCACCATGCAGGCAAGTTGTAATGTTTATTCTTTTTATCAAAGCCAATCTGTTGCATGAGCAAAGCATCATTGATGTTGGATAACTTATTATTTTCTGGTGTTTTTGTGCCTAAGAATTTGTTTCAATTATTTTCTGTCACTGATGTTCATTTCATTTACAATGCTAAATACAGCTGCCAAAGGTCATAAAGAATGTGTTGAACTTCTTCTTAACAACAAAGCTTCTCTTAATGGCAAAGACAAGGTAACTTTTGTTCATGCAGTTAATTTATTAATAAGGACATCATGAATTGAATGCTGAATTACTTACTGAAATGTAAGATTGTAAACTATTTAGCTCAACTACCTTTTATAGTATTTAAAAGCATCTTACAAAAAGTCAGAGATGTGTTCTAGAGTACTTCTGCATGTAGTACCCTAACATATGGTTCCTTCAGTTAATTATGCAACACTTGTATAGAAAAGATGCTGTTTTTGAGTTATCCAATGTATGAGGGGTAATTCATATATTTTTTTTCAGGATGGAAGAACTCCTTTATTGATGGCTATACAAGGTGCACATGAAGACGTGGTCAAGTTATTACTTGACAGAGGAGCAAAGGTTAACATAGCAGACAATTCTAAAAAGTAAGTCAGAAAAAACCTTAAACTTGCTTTTGGTGCATGCTGGTTTGAAGAGTAGTTGTTAGGTTAATCCTCTTTGTGCCTCATGTACCTCTGTCATTGTAATTTATAGGACAGCACTTATGTATGCATCACTTCTGGGGCTTTCCATTACCGTAGAGATGTTACTAAAAAGGGGTGCTAATCCACAACTGACTGACAGTAATGGTCAT